AATGAACCTTGAAAGTCATCTTAGTTGCAGACCAGCCCCACATCTGTTGGCAGGGAGGCCCATGAATCAACTGTGACTGTTGTATGAAATGAATATAGTTCATTAGAAGAAATGGGCAGTTTTACTTCTGATACAATCTGAAAAGTGTGATTCCTCTGTGTTTTCCCTCTTTGGGGGAGGTATCTGGAGTTTGGATCTGGGGGGCAGGCGACAATGCATCAGGTTGCAAGAGGAAGGAAGTGGGCAAAAGACAAGAATCATGTATTACTGTGCTCCTTTTTTCTGCCCCAAGAATGCAGGAGGAAGAAAATGAAGGAACTAGGTTTCATTCCTGTTCCAGCAGCCAAGGAGAGTTTGGTGAGAACCCCCTTCTGACTCTTGAGGGCTGGGGAGGAGCTTCAGCTGGCCAGCCCCTCCTCACTTCCATCCCCATCTTTTATTGTGCTGTGCCAGATAATAACATAATGACCCAGCCCCAAATCTGTTCCCTTTTGAATGCACAGCAGGAGAAATGCAACACAGGAATTAGGAGGAAGAAAGCCCAGGCTTGGGGGCTGGGGGATAAGGCCTAACCAGGAAGGCAGGAGACAGTTCAAGCTGATGCTCAGTGGTGGTGTGGCTGGGTCATTAAGCCTGTGGACTTAACAGCCTTCCAGAGCCTTCCTTGAAAATGCTGCGTTGTCTGCTTCTGTTGTGAAGATGGAAGACAGATTAATGGTTCCCTTCTCTCTCCCTAATTACCTTTCTATAGGTCAGAGGTATCTGCAAGGTATAAAAACTGTCAGGATGATGTCCATGATGGCGCAATTGAAGCACTGCCTAGTTTTTATATGTCCTGTGGACAACCCTGCCATGGGCCTTTATAGTTTTGATAACTGCCTGGAATCAACCAAATGGGGAGGCCGGCAAGGGTTTGCACCAAATAAATGAATAAAGCTGCAAACCAATGGAAAAGGTGTGTGTGCACACGTGTGTGCATGCATGTGCCATTTCTTTATTTAGACTCAGTTTAATCATACCACCATCATGACAATGACATCAACTCATTGGCTATGTTAACATCATGCATTTAAACCAGGACCGATAGTGACCTAATAGACATATTCATGCAAGATGTGAAGTGTAATTAGGGTTGACGTTAGATAGGTTTTTATGGCTTACTGTGTTGGGTGAATCCAGCTGATGTTTTATAAACTAAACCCTCCAAATGGTTTAATTTAGTAACTGATAAGCATATCGCAGCCATTTATTTGGAACTAAATACGCTAAATAAGCTAAAAGTATCTAGCTTCTTCCCCTCCTGGGTCTTGGAGACTGAGGGGCTGATGTCAGGTTGATTTATTTGCCCCATTATCTGCCATTCTCCGGCTGTATTCTCATAACCTGCTTGACCAGGTCCAATTGACCAGCAGCTCCAATTGTACTTTAAACTTGGTTAATTTTTTTAACTAGCTGCCAGGTCATGTGGTTTGCTTATAAGTAGTATGTAACTTTTAAAATAGGCAAATTCAGTAACCAAGCTGGGTGTACAGCATAGATGTAGCCATTGCACATTCAAAATGGTTAAAACTGAATCGTTTTGCACATTCCTGCTGTTCAGGCCCAAGCCGAATGGTAACGCTTTATTAGCACTGGAAAGAATGTGCTGATGTTTAGGTGGACAACTTAGTGGTCACAACCATACTCAATATGTTGGGGCAGGGCAAAAGCCACAGTAGGTCAAGTGATGATGCAGCACGGGCAGAACCACATTACACACCTGGGTGAACCTGGATTTTCCCTTCCTTCTTTCTTTAAAGGCCTGAATTTTTGAAAAATGAGGTTGATCTTTTTTTTAAGGCTTGCATTTTCATTTAACTATACTTTCTGCCTTACCATGGCTAATGTTCAGCACTTTGTTAAAAAGGGTTCTGGGACTGTTAAAAAATGGCAGGTTGTTCAGCTTGTATTAAAGGGTTAATGATACGTTTAGAAGGGCTTAGCCTTGTATTAATACAAGGCTTCTTAAGCCTTACATTAAAGGGTTAATGATATGATTAGAAAGGCTTAGCCTTGTATTAATACAAAGCTTCTTAAGCCTTGCATTAAAGGGTTAATTATATGATTAGAAGATTAAAACAGATATGATTAGAAAGGCTACCCTGTAAAAAAATGGAGCTGACCCATCCTCTGTGATGGAAAAGATGAATTCTCTGTTGCTCAAGAGCAGTGTTTCTCATGCTGACTGGGGAATTCTGGGAGTTGCAGTCCACACATCGTAAAGTTGCCAAGGTTGAGAAACACTGCTCAAGAGGGCCGGAGCAAATCCAATGATTAGCAATTACAGGGGAAATTATTTATTATAAAACAGTTCCTTGAAATAAGAATCACAGCAAATGAAATTGTCACAGAAAGTGATAGGCTATTTCTTATTGGAGTTACTTATACAGAGGCTTCCTGTCTGTCACGATTGCTGTAATTGTACAGTATTCTGCACCGAAGATAAGATATAGAATATAGGACTGAGCTTGACACTTCCAAAACCTCTTCCAACTCTGCATTTTTAACATAACCCCATGGAAAATATTTATCCCCATGTGCCAGGGGCACCGCATGACAGATTCCCACCAGGAATCTTTCTATATTTTAGATTGCCAGCCCTGCAGGGTAGCTGGGTGGCTGTCGCTTCCTGCATCTTTATTTTTCAAATGAGCTTTTTGATTTAAAGTCCACCTGATTATGATTGACACAGATGGAGTTAGGTACATCTTGAAAAGAAAAGGGGTGAAATACTAAACAGAAAAGGATGGAGTTCCTAATGCAAGCCTATTTTTGTATGTTTGCTAAGGACTTGATTTCTATGCTGGCAGGCAGATGAGAGGGTTAATCCCAAATGTTTCCCTAACTGGATGGCCTAGCCAGCTCAGGGTTACAATACCTGGTCTGTGTCAAACTAAATCAGGCTCCCTCTAACCGCTACAGACTGGATTTTTCTACCCCATCCTTTAACCAGTTAAACATGGCCAAACAGGGCCTGTGCTGGGTTTGTACATCTTGCCAAACCTGAATATGGTTTGTCTGGATCTGGCTTAGCAAATGTTGTATGAAAGCCACCCTTGTGGTTCAGGATCTGAGGTTTATGGATTTAGTGCAATGCTTGGATCGGGCCAGCAAAGCTGGAGGTCACACAAAAGAAACAAACCTTTGATTCAAATTCAAATCCTTCACAGGAGCATCTATTCAGCCGTTCTAGATGATTTTAGCCAGAAATAGCACAATACATTTATTTATTTGATTTATATCCCACCTTCTGTTCAGAAGCTCAAGGTGGCATATGTAGTGATTGCTCCTTCCATTTATCCCCAAAAACACTGCTCTGAAAGTGGTAGGCCCAAATCACCTGTGAGTGTTTGTGGCTGAAGATGGGCTAGAAACTGGGTCTCCCCAGGACCAGTCCAACACCTTCACCTCCCCAGGACCAGTCCACCACTACACTACTCTGGGCTTGGTCTTTTTTGTGTAAAATGAAAGTGTGAATCGAAAAGAACCAGTGAAAGCTCTTATTTCTGTGCTTCCTAGGGGCCTGTGGCTCACCACTATGAAAAAAGCATGTTGGACATGATGGGCTTTTGATTGGGCCCAGGAGATTCTTCTTATGTTTTGATTGATTGATTGATTGATTGATTGAGTAGGAAGAAATGCAGTTTAAATTGTGAACATTCATGAACTGTTTTGCTTTCAGCTCCACTTATGCCAGAAACTGAGAGTGAAGGGGCAGTATCGTCCCTTTTCCTTGAATTGGAGCAACCTTGCCCCCCTCCTCGTAAAACTTCGTGAGTACAGTATGACTTTGAAATGTCTTAATGAGTTGACAGTGTCGGTCCTACCATTAGGGAGAATGAGGAGACCATTTCAGGGGCAGAGGCTGGGTTGCAACAGCGTCCCTCGTTCTTCTGCTAGTCAGGGTATGTTGTCTGCAGCTCCAAGGTCATGTCTGTATCCTGCTCCAAGCCTTCAGAGCACTTGAAGATTTGTCACTGGTCTGCAATTTAATTAATGTAATTTCCTGAGCAGTGACATTATCAAGAGAGCAACATCTCAGTGAGAGAGGATATTAGTAGAGATCCCTGGGCCTCATATTTCCTCCCAAGTCTTGAGAGGAAGCCTCTCTGGGAGCCTCTCTGAAAGTCGCCATTGAATTCTAATTTTTAATGGGACAGAAGGGGAAATTATGAAATAACAGGGAAGTAATCATACACCCTGTCCCGGTAGTCCTTGCTTAATGACCGCAATTGGGACTGGCAACTCTGTCACTAAGGGAAATGGTCATTAAGTGAAACATATGACTGCAACCAACTTACAACATTAGTTTCACTGTGGTTGTTAACCAAATCACCTGTGCTCATTAAGCACAATGTCACATGACGGTAACTTGTGACTTCCTGCCGGCTTCTCTATTGATTTTGCTTGTCAGAAGCCGGCTGTGAAGCTCGCAAATGGGGATCATGTGACCATGGGGATGCTGTGACAGTCATAACTTCAAGGACCAGTCGTAAAACTACTTTTTCAATGCCGTTGTAAGTTTGAATGGTCACTAAACAGGGCAGTCATGAACCAAGGACTACTGATATTTTGACTTGCTCCATGCACTTCTCTGTCCTCATCTCTCCTAGTTTCCAGTATGCCTCTCAAAGAGAACAGAGGCTATAGGTGGGCATGAAAAAAAAGCATTTCCTTCTTCACTGTAATAATGCCCACTCTCCTAGATTTAAGAATGACAAGAGCTCTGCCTGGGCAGGCACAGACCTATCCAGATCAGCATCTTGTATCGACAGTGGCCAACTGGATGCTTCTGAGAAGACCACAAGCAGACAGTGAGAACAAGAGCTGCACTTCTATGCCAAACTGCCTCTGATTACAAATCCTTCTGCTCTGTCAGGAAGGAGCTTCTTGGCCTCTCCTGAAGAGAGAGAGCCAGGATCAAAACAGATGATTCTGAGGCATAGCGCCCTGTACCAATAATGGGGCATGGCGATGGCATTCAGCTTACTTTCTCTCCCCTTAGGCGTCAATATCTGAAGAGGATCATTGCCGAATATGAAGCCTTGGACATGGAAATGCCTTGTATCCGCAAGTTCCCTCGGCCGCCGGCCGCCCGACCCCTTTGCCTCTGTTTGGAGAACCCGGTTAGTCCTACTTCAGTGGGAGAAACAGACTCCAGGCTAGGTCCAAATTTAAGGAGACCCTTTTAAGTTGTGTGAGAAGTGCTGAGCTTTGAGATATAAAATCAGTCGCTATTTAAATTTCCCACCACGTCCCAGACAGAGACTAGGTGAGGGAAACTAATCTTTTGTGGGCTGGCTGGGGCAGATTTATTTAATTTTCTGAAAAGGGAGATCCCAGACAGATGTCATTTTGTACACTGCTGTGCACAATGCCTGCGAAGGACAGGGAGACATCCCAGAAGTGCCGTAATTTCAGAGAGGGTCTATTTTTCTCCATTCACTTATAGGCTCAGACTTAATTCATGGCAACTAATCACTTCCATAATATGTAACTGTGCTTGTGAAAGTATAGTTAATTGTGATCACAGCAACTGTAACATCACATTTGATACTGTCTCGGGCTACGTTAGGAATGCTGGCTGAGTGACAACCCATCTGGGCAGGGCTATGTTAGGGCTCACCTGTATCAACGAAGAGATTTTACAAGTGGCCACAGGCTTTTTGGATATCTGAGTTGTACACCCAGCAAATGTAACTCCTCAGAGTGAATGGAGAAGTTGTTAGCTGCCTATGATTCACTTGCGGCCAATTTAGGCTCTGCATAGGACATTTTCCAATGCAATGGACTTAACACAGTTTCAGATACTCACTGTGATGATGGCTGTGGGCTTGGCTGGCTTAAAAAGGAAAAAAAGAGATGGAGTGGGACAGGAGGAAGTAGGCTTATTTGTGGGGAGAAGCCGGAACAATCTGAGTGGAGAAATCAATGAAACTTCCATATTCAAACATAGTATGAAATACAGGAGAGCCAGTTTGGTGTAGTGGTTAAGGCATCATTCTAGAAACCGGGAAACATAAGTTCTAGCCCCGCCTTAGGCACAAAAGCCAGCTGGGTGAGCTTGGGCCAGTCATCCTCTCTCACCCCTAGGAAGGAGGCAAGGGCAAACCACTTCTGAAAAACTTTGCCAAGAAAACTGCAGGGACTTGTCCAGGCAGTCTCCAAGAATTGGACGTGATTGAATGGATAGAAAAAATAAATGAAATACAGAGGATGGTAAAGCTGGTCACCTTTGCAGGTGGCCATATTGTCTGGGAATTCTGGGAGAAGTAGTATAGTTCCACATCTCCGAAAAACACTAGCTTGTGCAGAGTGTCCTGGTGAATTAAAGCTTTTTAAGCTCCCTCCCTAACAGCTCTCCATCAATTAGCTTTAATGCAGTTTTTAAAGAGAGCATTTTTTTAATGCAACTTGGGCTGCATTAAAGACCCAATGGAGATGGGAGAAAATGTTGGGGGGTGTTATACTATATCTCTTTACTGACTTACATTGATTGACTGGAGTTTTGCCACTCAAATACAATACACCCGGGAAACCGGGAGGACGTGAAATAAAGTATCTTCGGCCAATGTTAGACTTGCTTCATGAGAGAAGCTGAAGCTATGATTCTAAGTAAGTGATCTTGATCCCCAATCTCTCAGCCTAACCTGCCTTACGGGATTGTCGTGAAGGAAAAATGAGGGAGTGGTGGAAAATTAGGTACACCCCTTGAACTCCGAGAACAAAGATGGGATAGAAATGTGATACACAAGCCATAATAACTTAAAAGGCTCTTAGCAGGTGTGTCTGAAGGAGGGGAGGAGATGGACTCCAATGGCTGAGCATTCCTTCTAACTTTTAGCCTGAAAAGGAGATGAAGCATGCTGAAATCCTAGCAGCCATAGAAGCTATCATTCCCAATGCCTTTGAAACAGGCCTCCTACGCAGCCTCCAATTTGAAAACATCAATGTGATCTGTGGAACTGCTGGGCGGAAGAACAGGTTGGTAGAGATGGACATTCAGATGCCCTATCCCCCAAATCAGCTGGACTAAGGGAAATCTGTTTGGCCACTCAGCTTCACTTGGCTAGCCTGCCTTGTGGCATCATCAGAAAAAATGTTTAGCTGAGACAATCTGTAGCTTCCCCCACTGACCAGCAGTCTAGACCAGTGTTTCTCAACCTCAGCCATTTTAAGATATGTGGATTTCAACTCCCAGAATTCCCCAGCCAGCATGGCTGGCTGGGAAATTCTGGGAACTGAAGTCCACATAGTATCTTAAAATGGCTGAGGTTGAGAAACACTGGTCTAGATGATCAAGGAAATCTATCTGTCTGTCTATCATCTAATTGTGTGGCCGTCCATCTCAATCTAATGACTCTGGACAGCTAACAGTACCTAAAAATTGGTAGCTACCACTTCATCCCCTCCTCCTTTAGTGCTGACTCCTTATGAGACACACCAGCGTTTAAGCTCCCACTTTAACTGTGCACAACATGCCTGATCAGATCAGTTAAAGCTCAGGTGGATGCATTCGCAAAACTTGGGAAGCTTGCTTAGTCTTGGTCAATTTTTTAAAAGATAGTTCATTGTGTGAACCCATGCTGTTTGGTTGGTCTGTAATCCAACATATTGTGCAAAATGGAAAAGTGGGTTAATTCCTAACCCAGCTAAATATGATGTAGTAACCCAGCCCTATGTTCTTGAGTTCAATAAATCTTGATGTGTGCTCGTTTATCCTCCTTACAATTATGCATTTGGCTGAAGGCATGGGAGTTCAGGACACAATCTAGAGCAGTGTTATTCAAATTTGGCAACTTTAAGAGGTGTGGACTTCAACTCCCAGAATTCCCTGGTCAGCGCATGCTGGCTGGGGAATTCTGGGAGTTGAAGTCCACACAACTTCCAGTTGCCAAGGTTGAAAAATACTAATCTGAGTGGATGAATAATGCGTAATCTGGGCCAGACCAGACCAGTTATCATTTTTCTCAGTGCATTTAACAGTTCCCTTTTTCTGATGCATAAAAAATGCCGGTTGAATGGCAACCTTTGGAGAATCAGGTATAAATTATGCACTCCTGCCATGAAGAAAGAGAACTTCTGGTCTAGACA